TTGATCGTTAAGCGGAAATCGAATCGGCGCTGCGGTATCAACTAACAACGAATTCTCGAAATCTTCAGCTGTCAGGAAGGGTTTGGGTTGAGGGGAGGAAAAATTGAAAGTTTTTGAGAGATGATCAGCATTGCATCGATATGCATACGTAAGGCACAAGATGATTACGATTAAAAGTTTCATTTCTAGCATGAGAATATTCAAAATACAACAACAAAATGACTCAAAATGATCTCGTCGACGAAACTTATATTCATTATTCCTCAATCATCGATAACTGCAATAAATCTATATTTATCTAAATTTCAACTGGTTTTGTTGACTACCCTCTTGCTCGCACAACGTTCAGTCGTTCATTCATTCATCTATTCCTCCATTTTTTGCAATCCACAAACACAACAAAAAACATCTGCAGATGAAATCAACCCTAAGCAAATTTCCTACATATAGAAGAAGTGGACATTTAGCAAGTACATCGTCAGAAACTGAACCTGAAAATTCGGTTAAATGTAATGGATAGGTCTTGTTACTTTTACAACTGAGANATCGTCAGAAACTGAACCTGAAAATTCGGTTAAATGTAATGGATAGGTCTTGTTACTTTTACAACTGAGACAAGCGAAATTGATGCGATGATTAACCCTGTACAAACAACTTGCCGAAGGTAAGTGTTCAGTTACGTTGATCTTTTCAAAGTGATCTTTCTTTAATAAAAACTTGTTATGGAATTCGATAATTGAACGATCATACAGCTTCTTATTCCTTCGTCATTTATTTCATTCTAAAGATGCAGATGGACGCTCCGAGAAATCTTATCCAGGCAATACTTTTATGATCACAGCGATTCACTATCACACATCTCACCGTATGAAGCAAGTACGAAAAGATGGCTGAAATATTCGATTCATTGATAACTGAAACATCGCTGAATTTGATCCTTGCAAGCAAATTCAACTGCTTACTTCCTTCCTCATTCGAAGTGATAATCTTAAAAAGCACTTTTTTGGCTGAAAATATTGTGTTCCAATGTATGCACATTGCGAGAGATCATCGACCAGTCACTCAACGATACTGGGTGGGTATCAATGAGCAAACAGCATCAAAAAATGTCTGTTTGAGTTTGCAAATAGCGATAAATGTTTTCGGTATTGTAAAATTGTGGCGTTTTTTTGCAGCTGATGACTAGTTTAGTGTTTGGATTGGATGCGAACAAACCAGCTTTTCAGTGTCGCACACACGTTGCAAAAGCTAGTTCCGTATAAGAGCAACTCAATGAATTTTAATTGCAGAAACATTTCAGCACTCAATTTTCGTCGCTCGGCGTACAATACATCTAATTTCATGCCTTTATTTACTTTGCTTTTTACGTTGTTACAAAGTCAAACAAACAAACAAACAAACATAACTGATGTTAAACGAATGAATATTACTGAAGTGAATGAATATTACTACAATTTAAAAAAACATCATGTTTTAAGGTAGCATTTTCCAGAGAGCTTTTACTATTGGAACGTTTCGTTGTCGAAGTTGTGGAATCAGCTCTTATGAAAGGTTTTGTTACAGATTATTGTACATTTCATTGAAAGTCGTTACAGATTATTGTNCATTTTCTAACTGAGTACTTGATGGATTAAGTTGCATAGTACGGGCGATATTATTGAAATTATGGCATTGATTTCATCTAATGTAGACGGGAATGACAGTGTTGAACCAGTGAAGACTAGTTCAGTAGTGTTTAAACTCAATTTGTAATTAGACCTTCTAGTCTATTCACAAAATTTCGAACGATCTAAAACAGCGTTTCTCAACACCATTACAAAAATGGGGCTACTTCCAGTAACTGATTAAATTTGCAGTAAAGAAACTTGCCACCATATCAAATAGCATTACGAGTTCTACACTCAGATCCACTTGCCTGATTTCGCACTCTTGACAGTTTTAAATGAAATGTTATTCTGCAGAGTCAACTAGGCCATATATCCACAATCAAACACTGCGGAACGCATTGAAGCTCGAATTGAATCAGCAAATTTGGTGTTGTGGTGAATGAATGAATTGAATGAAGGCAACAGAATGCGATTAATGTGCCAATTGCGAAAGATTTATTTATACATCAGAATCGTCGAGGTATACTTTGCCGATACGCAATACCATCGGCAAGAAAGTGGGTACCAAAGCGAATTGCATCTTACGCGTAGCATTAACAATGTACGGATATACAGTACTCGGACATTTGTGTTCGATGTAAACGTATGGGTCAGGCTTATTGAACGGGCCCATATCTGCGCCACAACCCGAGAGTACGAACGAACCGTTTCCTTGTGACCAAGTACGACCCATTATATCGTCAACTTCAAACGGTAGCGCTGCAAGTGAGAAGGTTTTGTAATTTTCTGCAACCTATGAAATTCCGCACAAAAATTCACATCAACGGAATGAAACTGTAATCTACTAACAACGTCAGTTCACATATATTCCGATGTTGGTTCCATTTTTGCTTCCATAACAATCGCCATAAAGAATAAAAAGACTTACAAAATTAGAAATGTCTTTAAAGAATTCAGCGGAAAAGTCATAAAAAGACGAAATAAATCCGTGATTTGCTATTGGATACATTGCCACTGATTAACAACTTTGAGCCGCCGATAAAAACAAATTCAATTGTTCGCAATAAATAACGTTTATTGTCAGCACATTTCATCACTCTCAACTAATTCATTTACTCATATTTCACTCTTCCAGCAAGTGCGATGAATCAAACCAAAATGTTGCTCACTAATGATGAAATACCATTCAACATTCATTTTATGTTTTCAAAATGCTCCAATGAACAATTGTTTAGAATGCTACTATAATATTATCACTGTTGCATGTGATTAATCGTTCTTATTTTCATGCTTACAATGTTCACATGTTCACTCCTAGGTAAATGCAATTTGTATTATTATATCGTAGCGTGTTGCGGGGACGGAGAGAAATTCGGGAACGGGGAAAATCGGAGATGAAATTTTGCAGTCGGAGATCCCGAAAATGCAGTCGGCTCAAAAAAAAGTCGAGGACAGGGATCCGGACACCCGCAACACACCGTTCCCGCGTATATTTTGTATTAATTGTACCGATTAATTTCTCTCATTTACATTCTAACAAATGATCAGAAAAATGTTCACGTTGAAACAGCATTCAGTTCATCACATCATCATTGGTAATGTTTCACATCAAATCAATCACTATTGAAAGTTGATAGTAACTTACAGTCTTCATCCTTGAGATCGATACGAACGTTGTTAGCAAGAGTTGGATTCGATGGACACAACAAAGTACCGATCACTTTCATACATTCGTTTCGAGCCGATAGTGGATCGAAGCAGTTTATGGACAGAATAAAGATTACTATACAAACGTAACAAAAGCAGTTCATCGTTTAGACTGATGCGAAATACGATATTCACTGCTCACTGAATTGTAATGTATAAACGTTGCTTTACGAAAGCGTTGCTCTCCGTAGTGCATATATTCGTTGATCGGTGACCTTAACAACACACAACAAGCGATGCAAGTCAATTTATAAGATAGTCAGCACTCCGAACTGAGGCCAAATGAATGAACAATTGCTACAGGCCAAAGTTTATAAAAATATAGCCAAGCAATCGTACCGAAAAATCAGGGATTTGTACGCTACAGCCGGGCTTCTGGATCCCAGAATCACGACAATCGCTTCGAATTAAAGCAATTTTTCTGAACTTTCTCTTGGTGCTTCCGGAATTATACGGAAAGTGTTTAATACTTGCTAAAGTGGCT